AAAAAACTTTGCTGGGGCAATGTCTCCATCTAAGACAATTTATTTTAAATATAAAGCACAAAGAAAAATGTTACCTCCTTTGAACCGAGTAAGGGAGAGACTAGGAACTTTCTGGGGTACAAAGCTAATGCTGTCTTGGCTGATTGAATTTGTGCCATCTGTGAATTCTTAAGACTGTATTCAAAGAAGTTATCTCTTAGATGAATTTAGATGACTCCTTTACAGCACAAGTTTCCAATTACTACAACTGAATTCAAGATCTGGAATATTCCTCTAGTGAGTGTAATCAAATCAGATTTGATTTCTTTAGCTGCAGCCAGTCAAGAAAGAATTTAGCAGACCTGGAAAACAGCTTACATGTTAAGAAAACTTCAGTGTCCTTAGATAGCTCGCCTATACTTTGTTACAGGCAGGAGACACATCACGAATGAGTGAAGCTAACGCTCACATGCACCAAAGTCAGTATTGACTTAACAGCAATATGGAGGGATTGCTCTGTCATGGCTGAGCCATGGTGACGTGTTAAAGAGCCACTGAGTTTCTCCAGATGTGCTGGAAAATGCTCTGCAAAAGGCACAGGTGAGACTGGGAGGGCGTGGCAAAGAAAGGTCACTGCTTCACCTACATAAAAACATAAACAGGTGGCCTTTTGCCTGTAGCAACTCATAGATTCATCAAGAAAGATTCACCAAGAGCTCTGCCCCGTTGTGTCTTTGCACGTGGGGAAAGAGCAAGACACTCAATAAGACAGGATCAACAAAATCATTGTGGCCTTTTTTGAAAGTAATAGATATTAATGAATGGGAACTTCTGGGCAACTTTTTTTCCTAAAGTAGAAAAATTAGATGAAAATGTATTTTGTGAGGAGTGTGCTGACACCCTCAGGTAATCTCCATCCTCTGTCCTCATCAATAATCTAGCACTCTACCTTTCCCTGTTACATTACTGTCTGCAGTAATACAATTCATTTTGGTCCCCTTAGATCCTATTAGAATCTCTCACAAAATTTTTCCTTCTCTACTCTATAGTGTTCTAGGATTATTTAGTCTTAACTTCTGCTGCTGTTTTCCTTGACTACAATTCTTTGCACAGGGACTGACTTTTGTGGATTGCACATTTAACCTCACAGTGAGTCAGAAGATCAAAATTAATGCATGGGGGTATTTTCCTGTGGGGTCCCCAGAGCACCCTAATTGTGTTTAGAACACTGTTGAATGTATCTTGTGATAATAAGTTCCACTATCTAAAGTACTTCCTTTATCAATTTTGATTTTCTTGTCTTTTAATTTCACTGCACGTGTCCTTTGAAAGGATAAATAGGCATGGGCAAACAGAAGAACTTATTTCTACATATCATTCAATCCCTTATGTACCTCCTTTGAATTACATCTTATTTTTCTCCTCCCTAAAGTAAAACAGTCTTAATGTTTTGTTTGTTTGCCTTTCTAATGTGGAAATCTTACCATCTCCTGTAATTTATTGCTGTTATTTGAGCAGATGCCTTCCTGGAATTCTCCTCAGTTATTAATGGTAAGTCAGTCATGCTCGGTGATGATATCTAAATAACAGGCTCGACATGCAGGAACAGAGATGTCTCCTCTGCTGCCGGGCAACATCAGGGGCTCCAAGTAGGCAGAAATGGACACCTGACAACATTCCTAAAAACTGTAGCAGAGGGTGGCAAAATGGGGAAAGTTCCTTTATTCCCCTCTGATTGCCAGGATGACTGTGAAATACCACTTTGCACCCAGTGTTCTGCTTCCTAAGAAATGGAGAAAACCACTGCTGGCTTCTTAGCTGAAAGCAAGCCTCTGACAAACTCAGCCATGTTAGGCTGGCTCTCTGATCCCCAGCCTGATCTGATCTAATTCTGTCTCATCCCCAGTATTTTTTAGATGCTGAATTGTACAATACCCACTGTTTGCAAACCTGAATATTCCTATTTTTCCCACTTTACATATTTGGTAGCGTATTTCAATGCACTGAAACTCCTGATGCTTGACCATCACAAGAACTGCAACAATATTATATAAATCTTGTGATAATTATCTTAAACCTGTGCAACTTCAACCTTTTGACAATTACTTATAGTTTGCAGTGGTAGAAATAAGAGCAAAATTGAGTACTTTGATGACCTCACAGCTCTTCTGTAGCAGCCATGTAGGAGGGCCCAGAGGACAGGAAAAGCTGATGCCCATAACTGGAGTAGATTGTAAAAAAAAAAATAAAAAATAACACAATGCATAGCAGTCATTCAGAGTCTTTTAATACATGGAACTAAGTATAAGTAGTGTTACAAGAAGATTTACTACTGTAAAAGCAAAGGAATTCATGTGCTTTCACAGCAGGGAACTTTACAGCAGTTAAAGTCTCAGGTCTATTACAGGAGCAAGCACTTTTTTTTGTTGTTTTGGTTAACAGTTTTTTCTTATTAGAAATGGATTTTTGCTAAAAGTCGGGGTTTTCCCTCATTGTCCCCAGATTCCTGCACTACTGTTCCTGCAGTGGAAATGCAAGTGTAAATCATGCATTTAACAAAAATGAGCAGGTTCAGCTGGGTCTCGCACTGCTGCAGAAAGGGCTGGAGCACTGCAGCAGCAGCAGCCTTTCTTCCCAAGGCCCAGCAGGGCGAAGGGGCAGAAACTCTGCAAACCAGAAGGTTGCCAGGGAAAAGCACTGAAATTCATCACTGCCTTATCACTTTGGAGAAGCTTTCTGTCCTGCCTTGGCTTTTTTTCCAAGGGCTATAAAGTACTTCTGTTCCAGGGCACTGCATATGGATATTAAATTCTCATCACAAACATGATACCATTTTTGATTTCAGTATTTATCTATCTTTTGTTCTTATATGGCCACACTTGCCATAATATCTCATACTTCGCAATCTTTAACACATTATTTATGCCTCCAAAAAGCATGTATATGAAAGGTAGCTGAAAATAAGCAATAAACCATTTTAATACTGTTACCATCTGAAGCAATGGATCTGTGAGAATTTTCTTCTCATTAACTCTGGAATGCTATTCATAACCTTGAGACTGATAATGCTTAGGAAATTATTTTATCCAAGAGTAAGCCTCTCCTTAATATATGTACTAGAAGTCTACAGAGAATTTTCCAGGCCCTAAACAGAGAATCCCTTGCTAAAACAAAAAAACTCTAAAACAAAAAAATCCAAACCACCCCCTAAAAAACACCCAAAACCACCTAAACAGAAACAAAAAAAATCCTCCTCCACACCTTAGAGCTGTTACAGAAGTCACATTAATGAAAACAAGGCCTGTCTTTCCAATCCATTATTTATTTTAAAGGATTGGTATTAAGTACTAATAATGGTATTTAATCCATCTATAGATTTCTCTTTTGTCTGCACTGGCACATCATGTTCTTTGCCATTTCCCTTAAAAAAACAAAACAAAACAAAGAAAAAAGAAACCACCAAAAAATAAAGAGGGAAATCAAAGCATTTTGAGAATGCTGTTTCTTTCCAGATCACTTAGCATGATTTTTCTTTGAAATTGTAAAATTTAAATAAAGAAAGACAAGAGATGAATTTGAGGCACTGCTTTCTTTTAGAAGCAATTAAAATTTTCTGTCCTCTCTACAGCTGCACTTGTGAGCTTGGAAAGAACATTTAAAACCTGAAATCCCCTCATGGTCTGAGGCTGAAACAACTTGCACTTGCCAAGACAGAAAATCAGACTATTTTGGTGTTGGATGGGATTGTAAATCCTCTGAAAACAACTGAGCAGAAGAGACACTGGGGAATATTCTTCATATGACCAAAATGGTGAAGATCAAGAACATAAATTTGAGTTTGTGGGAGGGTAAGAATAAACAGTTTCAGATATGAGCTTGCAGACAAATCTTCGAAGATGGCACCACTCAGAATATACCCTGTGCACTGTGTCTCACGCACAGAGGACATTAAAATGGGATACTTGAGTCACAAGGGCCCAGATGCCTACAACACTATACAGGTGAATTGCATCAAAAACAGAAAAAGGAAATAAAAAAAAGGAAAGCAAACATGGAAGTCCAGCGCTTTTTAGCTGTTTAAGCCTGGAGCTGTATAAAGCTTGGTTGAGTTTCATACTGGTTGGGGGTCCCTTGGTTGAGACCCCTCTGCTGAAGAGAAGGCTCTCTCTGCACCTTTCTGCAGGAGGACCAAGCAGCTGGAGGAATCTGACCCATCCCGAGCTTCACATTCCTCCTGGGTGCCCCAAAACAGCCCTGTCCTTGCCTGTGACCTGTCTGGTTCCCTGCCCCACACTGGACACTTGCACTTTCACACCAGTGCTCCATCACCAGTCACTGTCCGACCTTCAGGAGGCAGAGGCTAGACGCTGTAGTTTACCTACTATTTTTCACTAAATAACTCCAGCAACCCCCAGCATCTCCTCAAGTCCCTGTGGGGAGTGCCACGCCAAGCCCGCCCGAGGTCAGGAAGTGGGAAGGTGGGGAAACCAGAGAAGGTTGTGGGATGAACAGGGATGAGGGACACGGTTAGCGACAGGACCAGAGGACATACTCTCAAAAAAAAAAAAAAAGGCACCAGGAGACATTCAGGTTAGAAATTCTTACTTCTTCACGGAAAGGATGATTAAACACTGGAATGGGCAGTCCATGGCGGTGGTGGAGCCACAGGCCCTGAAGGCCGTGCCACGGTCTAGCTGAGACAGTGGTGTTGGGCCATGGGGTGGGTACGGCGACCTCAGAGATCTTTTCCAACCTGATTTTGTGAGTGCAAGAGGCCCTGTGAAGAGCAGTAAGGGGCTGAGGGGAAGGGGACATGGCCGCTCCGGGGACACGTGTGGGCAGGGCAATCACAGCCTCTCATCAATACAGCGCGATGGCGGCGAGTGCGGGGCGGGCACGGAGACGGGGAGGGAAGGGAGGGGAAGCCGCCCCCGAGCAGGGCGGAGCGACCGCCGCGGGCCGGACGCGCCCAGGTTACCGTGACAACGGCGTCGGCCGAGCGAGCTGCCCGGCCTCGGCGGACCCCGCTGCCCGCCCGTCCGCCCATGCCGCGGAAAGCGCTGCGCTGCGTCCTGCAGCTGGAGCTTCGCTCGGTGAGTGCCCGGGCCGCGCTCCCCGCCCGCCTCAGCCGGGCCGCGGCCGGCAGGAGAAGCCGCGCTCGGCTCTTCCGGCATCGCTTCCCGGCCCGCTCTCCTCTGCCGGCCGCCGCCCCGGCGGATCTTCTGGGGGGCTGCTCTGGGCCCTGCTGCCGAGCGGGGGCCGCGCTCCGGCTGCCATTCCAGCCGCATCCTCCGGCAGCCCCCATGAGGTGTTGGCAGCAGCCGTGGCCCTCCGCAGCTCCCATTTTTCTGTGGAAAAGTTATGGGGGTGTTTGTCCCTGTGCCCCCGCGCTTCCGCTGGTGTTTAGCCACAACCGTGCCGCTTTAGAATTCTCACTTTCCTGTGGAAAATGTGCGCTTTTTTTTTAAAGCACACTTGGGAAGCTGTAGGCTGTAGGAAAAAGCACTCTCGGAAAAAAAAAAAAGCCAAACAAACAAAACAAAACTCAAAACAAAACCCAAACAAGTCCCAAGAAAGAGCGGGCTTGCTCATGGCATATGCTGCCCCGTGAGGGGCAGGATGTGGCTCTGGGCAGGTCTGCCTGTTACACGGCGGGGAGTGAGGTCAGAAAAGTGTGAAAGTGCAAAATTTTGACATTAATCATGTTAGGATTGTAGTCTTTGCACTTTGCAAAGTTTTCTACTTATATCCAAGCTGGGAACACAGCAAGGAGCTGTAACATTCTCCTGAAAACCTTGCAGAAGTAGCTGTGTTAGGCTGTGCCCTGTTACCCTGGAGTTGGTGGCTTCATATGCCCTCGTCCTGTAATCCAGAACAAGCGCTGCCATGCGTTTAAGAGTACCTGCTGCTGAGAGGAAAACACGAGATGCCACCCACAAAACTCGAGTGCAGATCCAGGAAGTATATATGGGGAAATGGCCCAGGTATTCCTGGTTTCTTAGCTACCCTTGTTCCCAAACTTGAGTGGCTGCTCTGAAGCAGAGCTGTGGATTTCCACACAAGGATGGCGAGGGTGTCACCCTGGCAGTGTTGCTGTGCTGCTGTCTCAACAGCTGGTGTTTGTGTCCACAATGCCAAGGCCTGCTTGGTTCCTGGAGTGGAGCAATGTGCTCTCCTTTTCTGTTCCCGCTGGCTGTGCGCTGTTCCTGTGCCAGGAGTGAGTACAGGGAAGACATTTCCCCAGGGTCAGGTTTTCCGCTCTGGGGTATTTGTTATTTACCCTGCTCTCAAGGCTACAAATAAAAATGGAAAGAGACTACTCGTACACAAATGTCAGTGCTGGCTTTTCACTTAAGGAATTACTTCTTTCCTTGCCTTTTGCTCACTTGATGTGTTTTTTGGGCAGCAGTTCTTTCATTTCCCAGTTGATCTTTATCAGCTAAAGCAACGTGGTATTTTTGGTAGTGTTTTGTGTGATGGACTCACCAGCCTTCTAATAATCTTAGGGATAGGAGCTACTCTTCCACTTTGAATTTACATTGATCAGAGTCAGAATTGAAACCTATAGTCCAAATGGAGACTTGCTTTTGTCTTAGGTGATGTAGTGAAAAAAAGCCCATCTTTCATCCATATACCTTAATATGAGTCAGAGTCATAAAAAATGTTAAAAGACATGAATCTCAGTATACAGAGAGGAATGTTTTTAATGATAACCTCAACTTGTTTTTACACATTATTGATGCTATCCTTTGTCCAGTTCTGTACCACCTTTGATACTAACTCCTCCACTAATTATTCTTACCTTTTTCATCATAAATAATAATTTCTCATGGTACTATATGATATTCTTTATCCAGAAAATGGATTTTCAAGAAAATGTAGAATTTTGCTTGGTTGATCCATTTTTATGGAACGTGCCATGCTGGGATTTTTTCTAGTGATGTTTTCATCCGTATCTTTATTCTTTATTTCTGAATATTTAAATATTTTGATCAATGGGGTCATCAGTTTTCAGATCTCTCTTTCTGTCTCACATGGTCCTTATGTTGGTTATTTTTCAGGAGATTCTACCTTCCCTGTTTTCATTACGTTTCATTTAAGAAAAATTACATTCTTTCACAGCGTGTCCTGAAGATGATTCAGCCTCCCTGTGGCTTCTTGGTCCAGGCCTAGTGCATATTGGATGACTTCTGTTTCCATCATTTAATTCTTTGACTTGTCTTTTTCTCCTGTGTTAAATTTTGTTAAAACAAAGGCAAAACATTCAGTTGTGTTTGGGACATCGATTTGTTAGCTTTCACATCTTGGCTGATTTATGCTTTGTCCATTAATTCTCTCTTTGTTTGCTTTATTTGTGACCAAAATCTTGTCCAAATTTCTGATCTATTTTCCTGCCCTTTTTACAGTGCTCTGCATATTTCTCCATCCTCTTTGAAGTCTGTCCAGTTGTGTCAGAAGTTCTGTCCTCTTTGTTTTTCCCTTGCTTTAGGATACAGATGGGTTTTGCTCCCTTTGACTTAATGAAATTCCAAGATCTTCTCTGATCTGAGTCCACTGGCTCTTTGGTTTGTCTTGCTGATAGTTTTCTTCATTTCTCTTCTCAAATGGAAGGCCTTACTTAAAGACTAAGTAGTTCTTTAGTTTCATTTATCCTGCCATGGGCTGTTTGTAGTAGGTGCTCCAGAGGGTTAAGATCAGTAGAATTCTGCCCTTTTCCATGAGCTTTAATTCAGTGATTTTTTATGGCTATTTGTGATGTCCTGGCAGTGGGGTTGGTGCACATTTTCCAGACCCCTGGGAACTTTTATCAGAGACGTCCAGGATAACACTCTCCTAGAAATTCCTCATGGTCCTTGGGGTTGCTTGTGAGGTCAGTTAATTGCATCACTGATACCCTCTTCCTTAGCTGATCCATAGATAACACTATTAGCGTCTTTAAAATAGTCCTTTATCCTGCTGGAGCAGTCTGCAGTCAGATGAGTGCTTCAGTTTCTCTCCCAAGGGTTATGCAGCTCTGCATGTTACAGAGTAGGTGTCATGAACTGCAGATCTGCATGTGTCATTCATTTTTGGAACTGCTTTAAAGTTACATGGCCACATAGATTTGGCTGATTACAGCCCAGGTAATGAATTGTGCAGTTTATCTCCAGGGCAGTAGAATCACAAGTTACCACATGTGCTATCTTGGCCCACATGCTCATTTGTAAGAATTTGTTCTCTTTTTACAGGATAGCCAGAAAAAAAGGCACCTGTTGTTGGCGGGTTTGCCCATTCCAACATCTTCACATCTCTTACTTTTCATCTCAATAGACGGCAAACATTGGTTCCCTTCTCTAGGGTGAAAGGCACAAAACTCCAGCTAAAAATGGTTGTAAATTCTACAAAAATGTCGAAGACAAAAGTGAGAAGTAAAGCTGATATGACATGTACTAGGTAGTTTGGGGGATCTTTCCTAGTATGAATGAAATCTGTCTCTCACTCCTGTTCACACTTGCAACTGCATGAGTGTCATACAAGCTGTTTAATGCTCGACAGACTGTTTCAATTGGGTTATCCATTATTCTGGCACTTGTCTTGTAGATTTGAAGCCCTCATTTACATGGAGAGGAAACCCTTTTTTTTCTTCTCAGGTATTTATGAGTAGAACTCTTTTTTACCTTACACTTTATCTGTAGTGATCTATCACACACTGTTTCCATTTAGTTCTTGCACCTGTTTTCCTACTGTTTATGTAGTTTTCTTTTAAATCCAGTTAAGATTTTTCAAGTAAAATGTTCACTTGGGAGTAGGAGACTGTAACCAAACCACTTATTTTAATTGCCATCACTTTCCTCCTTTGTCTTTCTACCTGGCATTTGAAAGTCTGAACACTTTCTCCAGAAACCTTATGTTGGAAGAGACAACCTCTTATTTCTAATGCTGACATAAAAGAGCATGAGACCTTAAGAGAAAGGTGTCAATTCTCTGTCAGGGAAATAAAATAAAATAAATCCACGTGGCTTGGAGAAACTAGCAAATAGTTTTGTAATGAGTTGTGTACATTCTTGCAATCAGAGCTTTAAAAACAGACTGACTTCTTACTTAAAGAATTTAAGAACTGTGCAGAGAAAGTTGAGAGATATGTGGCAGCCTGGCAAGAAGCATTCCCTGCTTTGAGTTTAAAGATGGCCAAACTTCACAGAGAAAGGAAGAAATGTGTCTGGTAGTAATGGAACAACACTTGCTTTTTCTCATTTGCAGAAAATTTGCCAATAAACTTGCTCTTTCTGGTGGCTAATGGCTGAAGAATATGGATATCTAAGCATGTAAATTTATCACCTTCATTCAGTTAGGCTGAAGTTTGGGTGGGGTTTTGTGTGTTGGGATCATGTAGACTTCATTCTACATGAATCTTCATATAGAAGACGATTATGCCTTACACAGTCAGAATATGCCTTTAACTGTACTAAACTGTCCTTGGGTTTCAGTTTTGGTTGAAGACAATGGAGTTTGTTTACTTAAGCAAGAAGAATTTGGTCACAATTGTTTTAAAATGGTGATGATTTTTTTTTTTTTGCTGGCCAGTCAGTGCAAATGGTATTGCTTTAGAGAATATATTTTTTTGCTCTAGTCTGTTATATCCTGACTTTCACAAATCAACCATTTCAGCCCTGACTGTTTCTTTTTATCTTCAAAACAGCCATTGCTTGTCTAGCTAAAGTTCAGTTTGTTTAATGAGTGTGTTACTTCTACAGATAACTTGTCCTGGAGTGCTGCTGAAAGACAAACAGGAGCTTTATCTCGGAGTCTTTGTACTGGGGCAGTACAACAAAACTGAATGTGTCCCTGCAGTGTTCCCACTCTTCTTTCAAGAGAGACTAGTATTTGAAAAGGTAAGATATGTCAAGGGCTGATACAACCCAAATAAACCCCATCACAAATTCCACAAAAATTGTCTGCAATACCCATGAGCACAAATAACCGCACTGAGAGCGGAGCAGTATTTTACCTCCTGCTTCTCCTTAGCACAGAGGAGGGGTGTGCCTGTATTATCCATATGGGGGCTCAAGAATTATGTGTACTGAAGATTCTAATGTATGATGAGACTTTTTAGGTGTTAGTTGATTCTTTTGTGAACTGTCCTTCCTCAGTGTCTGTTTTCCTGGCTTGAAAGGGTCTGAATGTTTTTGTTCTAAAAATTATGGCAAGGTGAAGAACAGAGACTGTACAATATAGGAGAGGCAACTCAATTTAGTAGAAAGATAAAATAGCAACTCGAGCCTTTTTGGTGACTTCTTACTCCCTTTGAGATATTTCTTTCATGGTTTATCACCAGAATTCCCTGATTGGTACTCTGGCCCTGTAATTTATAGTTGTTTATCACATATTCTGAGTCCCTACTAGCTTCATTATTAGCACCTCAGGGATAATGAAACCCAGTATCTTACAGATATGATCTGGCTTCTTCACTACCTGTGAATAATAATACTTTGCCCTTTCTAGTTCTTTTCCTTTAAGCATTCCCCAGCACTTTGAAAACCAGGCTGAGTATACTTGTTCAGAGTGATGCTCTGGTGAAATGGATAAGAAACAAACAGTGATAATTTCACTACCTAAGAAGAGTAGAAAAGACCATCATTCTTTAAAGGCAAACATAACACCAACTTCTTAAGGGTAATGTACTGAATGCTGTTTTCAGTGTAGTGTAGAGGACCTCCATCCAGTGCAACATCCTCCCCTATTCTCTGCTATCTCTTCACACAAGATTCCATTAAAAAAAAACTGAACAGGAGACTGAAAAGTCACCTCTGTGAAAATGAAGCTTAAAGTGTTACTAATAAATTAGAGAACATTGATCTGTCAGAACTGCACTACATTCAGCAATTTATGTTTCTCTCTTGAAATTCTTTTAGACAGTGCTTACCTTTACATCTTCAACTCTTCACAATAAATTATTTCTGTTATTTACATACAGAGAGGGAACTCTGTGGAGAGAAAGTATATAACAAGAACTGCTGGCTTTCAATGAATTTGATCATGTTCCAAATGATAATTTTATTATCATTTATTTTTCCAGTGGGGATAGGACTCTTGGAAACCATCTTGGCAAGGAAGAGCATTGATTTTGAGGGGTTTTTTTTCCTTCTCTTTCCCCAGTGGTCCATTTGAATACTTCGACTGTGCCAGTACTACTATTATTATTATTATTATTATTATTATTATTACTACTACTATTGTTTCTTTTTCAGGCATTTGCTAATATAGTTGATCCTGGAGACCTTATGAAGTTACTGGAGTGTATGTTCTGTTTTTTTGTATACTATATTGTATCCATTAATGCCACACATATAGGGGCTCTAAAGATGTTTTGGAGGTTTAAAGTATGTGATAGTTTTTCTATCAGGAGCGTGTTCTCTGAAAAACTAGTGGGTAACCCCTATTATCTAACAAAATGCTTCTATAAATGTATTTTGCATTCTTTGGAACAGGAAAAGGATAAAAAGTCATAAGTGATTGAAAGTTCATCTGGTTATTGGGCAGTGGATTTATTTATGTGGTTGTTTATTTGATTAATTTTCAAATTATAAAAGAATAAACCTCCAACTTTTGTAAAATTATTAATTTCTTTTTTAAGAAAGCTGTCTTGCTACATGTGTATAATGAATTGTGGTAAGAAAACACTGACCCAACCTCAAACTGCAGGAGTATGCACCCTCACATGGGAGTTATCTGTAAAGGGGGAAAAGCTTGCGTAATCTTCTTTAAAAGAGGACAAACTTGGCAGCAGATAGAATTTACTAAGTCAGATTTAGTGTTGTCATTTGTACCCTGCTAATGCCATTGTGTTCATCTATGATATTTATGCAAGCTGTACTTAATTTTATCTTATTATTGGTGTGGTGGAAATAGTGCAGTGAAGCTTAAATCAGTGATCCATTTTTCTGGGGTTTTGACTATGGGAATTTTCATTTTAGTGTTTTTTTTAACTCATGAAAAACTTTTTTCCCTTCTAGTTGACACAGCAGTACTTGAACTAATACAGCTCGTTCCTCCAGGTATTGTATCAGTCTTTTCATAAATTATGCAGTTTAATAGGTGAATTTCCAGGAGGACATTGCCCATTACAGCACAATCACTTTTTCCAACACACAAACAACATAGAAAGCACTTCAACAAATAGTCCTCTGAATAGAAAATGTTAATAGATCAAGAGGATCTCATTCTTGAAAGTGAATAATAACTGAATATTTAAATGTACCATACTCAGGCTTAGGAAAGTGATAATATTTTAAAAATGGAAAATAAACTGAAATCATCCAGTGCATAATTATTAACTGCATCACAATTCACTTGCAGACATGCTGTCTGTGAAATTTCAGAGTGCATAATCTTGTTCTCAGAGTGACACTTTTTTTCCTTCCATTTTAATGGTGACCATTGGGAAAACTCTTATCCTCACTATAAGTATTACAGGTCTCTTGGGATGTGTGAAGATAATAAATACCGATTTGTCATACTTCTGTTATTGGTTTGTGTGATTATAAAAATCTATTTTAATGAAATTCAAGTGTTCCCATGAATAATGTAGATCTGCATTTTATTAGAAATAAAGTCAAGTTTTAAAGAGGACTCATTTGGCAACTGTGGTATTAAAAGCACTCTCTGTCACTTGTCTTTAGTACTTTCAAGGAAACTACTGCTTCTCTCAGGTGACTTATCAGACTGTTTACTTGAAGAAATGTAGAGAATGGGGATTTTTTTTGTGGGAAGGTAAAGGATCTAGCGTAAGGAATTTATTTTCAGGGCTGGGACATAGGTGTGATACAGCCCAGCATAAGCTAGCAAGATGTCTGCAACAGCACAAGTTACCTTTTTTTTCAATATGCGCTGAAAGGTTTACCTCTAAAGAAAAGCTTTTTTTTTTTTTTTAGAAATAGGAAGTTAGAGTACTTAGAAAACCTTGAAGTAATTATTTTGCTTTCTTACTGCTATTACTGTTCTGTAGTATGAAATGGTAGTTTTTCATAAGGAATTGGCTACCATTAAAAAAATACTGGTTTTTTTCTGTGGCATGGAAGGGAAAGAAAGAAGAAAAGTCCTGAAAAGTTCCCTGAAGAAAACCTTTCATGTGCCTGGTATAGAACAGTTAACATAATCGTCTTTAATTTTTTTTCCAGTAACATTGAAGCATAGTTTTATAGTAGATTCTGCCCATTTTTGCTGTTGATTTAACTTGATGAGGTTATTTCCTAGTGCTATAGGAGTTTTAGAGCCATGCTGTTAATTTCTAAAGAGCAAAATTTATCCTGGTTTCAACATGGCTCTCTGTGTGGTGTCTGTGCTGTGCAGCTTTGTCTATTTTCCAATTAAAGTATGTATTTTCTTTTTAGTGGGAAAAGTTCTAGCTACATACGAAGAAAATACAAGAGATTTCCTGTTCCCTGACCCTAAGCTTACCCATGGGCACCGTGGTTTGGTGCGTGAGATTTTAATGAAGAGGTCCCCGTCTTTCACAGTGAGTGAATGTCTGTGGATTGTATTTATGATACAGTCTGCTTCACTGAAGAAACCCCTTGAACTGCTTCAAATGAAAAGCGATTACTTCTGACAGATTTTGCCATTTTAAGGTGTTGAATGTACAAATCCACAGTTGAACTTCAGGGAAAGTATAATCTTTTTTCAAAATGCTTCAAGAAATTATTTAATGTGGAAAAGTTAGTTTCCACTTGGTTTGCAGTGTGGCACCATGACATGTCTCCATTCAGTCTAATCTGTGATGCAGCTGGTGGCTGAAGGGATGCAGGAAATGGCATATTGACTTCATGGTTCTCAACAGAAGCCATGCAACCCTCCTTGGTCCCTCTCCCTAGCATTTTGGAACAACAGCTAATTGACAGAATGAGTGCAGTGAATTAATGCTAATTTTCTGGAGATAAGGGCTCAAGTACATATCAAATGAAAATGAATTAATTTCACATTGCCCTTTCATGAAGTTTGACAGTTGACTCTTAATTGTCAGTAGAATAACCCAGGAACGCACTTTAAGGAGGATGGTGATGATGTGTTATAAGGTTTTTGTGGAGTTTTACTGGTGGATTGGCAGGACATTTGGAAAATAACTCAATTACCCTGTCCATTGTGGTTGGACTAAAGGTGCATGGGAGGAAGGAAATGCTGATTAAAGTTCATTCATGTCTTTTAGCTGGTGTAGTCTTTCCCCTAAAAGGGCAACCTGGAAACTGCCCAGACACTTGTAATTAGAAGTGCTAATTTGGTATCTAATGCTGTGTTACATTTGAGTGAATTAAGGTTGTGATTTTGTGCTGCAAAATGTCCGATTCTGCAGAAGCTTAAACTGTCCCTGCAAAAACAACCATTATTTTTTGGCTGTAGTATCTCTTTGCTATGGCTCATCCCATGCATCGTGGTGCGGCTCAAGAGATGGAGTGGGACTGTTTTGCTTTCATACTGCTTATAGAATAGGTACTTTATTCCTTTGTTGAGGAAGAATAGGGAGGTAGGAACAAATGAGGTGGTATTACCTAAATGCTTTCAGATTTTTTGTGAACAGAGTATATAGTGAGTCTTCATAGAAGCAGAGCTGCTAAAGGAGTTTGATGGGTTTTGTCAAACTGAGTTCTTTAAAACAAAAGTTACATATTTTCTAATAAAGAGAAGGTGCCATAATTTGTAAGCTGTGAGGAGATCTGGTCAGAGTAATTTGGATGTGTAGCTGATGAATCATCCATATCCTTGGGAGCAGCATAAACAAAATCCATCTCTGCCCTGGAACTCAGGCTGCAGAAGCCTTTGTTGCTCCATTCCATTTCCATAGCTTGAAAGTACAGTTTAAGTGAGAATTTTGGCATATTTGGAATATTTGCCCCCTTTTCAGGAATAATGCAGAAGCTGTGATTGATGCCATTGGAGGGAGGCTCCCAAAAGGAACTTCTTGTTCCTCTCCTCACTTGTCAAATGGAATAACTGTGGAGGGATTTTTACCTCCAGTAGAGATGCAGTCTCAAGTGCCTCCATCTCCCAGTGTTCCCTGAGCTTTACTGGCAAGTGTCTCTTGCTGAGTCTGTCAGCACGAAGTGCTGGATGTGAATGCTAAGCAAAAGGAAGTGTTAAACAAGGTTGTGAGTACCCTCCCGTTATTCCTATGCTACTGAAGATATGTTCTTCCCACATGAAAAGTTATTTATAGCCAGCTGAGATGCTGAATATTTTTGAATGGCAGCTGTGCTTCAGTGGCACTTTGATTCCAAATAAATTTGTCTTTTATTAAAAAAATAAAGGTAGCAACAGTAAGGTTACGGTTGTGGAGTTCAGATAGGCAGTGACAAGTAGTGTCTGATTAACACTGCTAATCTGCCAGTTGGAAGGAATCCCAAGTTGAGAGGATCAGAACTCCTCCAGAAATCTGGCACTTGGCTGATAATGTCCCTGGCTAAATGTCTTACGAGGTTTACAAACTCAGTGTGCATACAAGACATGCCTCGAGTTATCTCTCCTGGTCCAGTGTTGCCCAGCTGAGGCTCTTGCTGGCTCTTCTGTATTTCTCTGCAGCCTTTGCCTTTTAGAATATGTTTATGCCTGGACTGTGGTAGTGATTTCTTACAGATGTTCTTATCTCCGTTCCCCACCTTCATGCAGTATTTGCCACATTACTTAAAACAGTTTCTTTTTAGTTATGTTATCTTCCATTAACAGGCCAGTATAAGGCCTTCTGTTATATTCATATATGCTTTTTTAAGCTAGAGTTGTACTTGTGTTCCTTACAGTCAAAACCACATATTAGACTTGCATTCTTCTAAATATGAACCACCTTTATACTTTTTCTGTGATCAAATTGATATTATGTCTCTTCTGTTTAATGATTGGTGCAGAACTGTTTAGGACTGCAGACACCACTAAGCCAGAAGCAGAAGAAGGGATCCCAAAAACTTTCCAGCTGGGTTTTCATTTACAGATGTGTTTGGGGCTATATGATGGTCTTTACATAATTCTGTGTTGAATATCCTACAGCAATCCCTGATCTGGGAACTGCAGAAAACAGAGCAAATCCTCTGATGGCTTTGGCCTGTGAGTTGCTTTTGACATATCCATGCTTGTGCATTCAAATACCATCTCATATTCCCTCTCCACAGACTATTTCTCTGAAGAAACCATAGTTTGTGTAATTGTTTAGGTATGAACACTTAACAGTTTTTTAATTATTTCCAGTCTCTGTAAAAGCAGTAGGTGCTCTATTGTTGTGTTTTATAGTAGACTTACTAATTCTGATGTGTCCTTTTTTAAATTGTTGATAGTACTTGAAAATTCATTAGTAATAAAAACAAGTTGATTAAAGATGATCAGGCTTAAAACCCCTTTTATATGTGATAACTTGACTTGATTGAATCCTGGACTCTGTTAATTGCTGTGACTGAGCTTTCTTGGCATTTTTGTCATTTGATTTCCATAATCTATCCTGGGGCCAGATCATGTCCCACAATGGGAAATCAGTGTTTAGGCAGGTGGTAGAGAATGGTTTGGTTCATCAACAGACTTCACTCATGAAGTTCCTGCTAATTCTTATGGATGTGGGACAGAGTCGCAAACAGACCCAGCTCCCTTTCATGTCTCAGTGATTTTGTGTGTTCATGTGCACAAATGCCTGTGCATTGAGATGCCTCAGGCAGCAAATTCTGTCCATGTTCAAAGAAGAAAGGGTAGAAATTTCTGGGGGCACTTGATTCTCACCTGGATTCTGCAGAGCTGTATAGGACACACATAGATGATTGCCACTTGTTATAGCATATGTGGCATTTAGTTCTTTTATGCCTTTTTTAATGCTGCTGTTTGGGAAATAATGGTTATGTGTTGTAAGCCCTGTCCTTTACACCCAGTAAATTTGGAATGCATTAGCTGATGCTCAGTGAATAGAAAGGCAATAGTTGTCTGAGGTGCTATGTTCCTAGCCATGGCTGCAGTAAAAGGTGAGTAGAACAGAAGCTGCTAATCATGTGAAAATGCTGGCCATTGCTGTGTGTGTGCTGTGCTTCACCAGGAGGCCCAGCTGGACCCTACTGATTCTAAGCAGGACAATCTAGGGCTGCCCCATGGGCAGGAGAGGATTGTGAGCAGATGGAACAAGGGAGGCATCCACAGAAATCAGACTACAAAGATTACAGAATGGTGTTCTTAGTCATACTGTTACAAAGAAATAGTTAATTGCAGTGTGATTGACTGATTAAACAAAATGTTTTTACAAAAGAGTTGGCACAACTGAGATTGTTCTCAAACAAGTTTGCAGAGTTAGCATTAATGAAACTTCTAGAGCATGACTGAAATTTTTATTGATGCCATATAGCATGGCATGAAAAATCTTTAAAAGTGCTTTTGACAAAAAAAATGTATTAAAATAAAAGTCAGACCTTAATTGTTGCACGAAAGCAGAGTAATCATCTGTAATTGAATTGTCAGAAATGCAAATGTTAGCATCTTGACATTTACCATTGCTGTTCTGTCTTTTCTAATTATCTTTATTAAAGGCTGAAATTAACAAAGGAAATGGCTGAAAATTAGGAATGGTTTGTTACATTAGGTGACATTTACCTCTTTGATACCCTTTATCTTGAGTTGGAGCTTGATGTTCAATTATTGTCTCTCTTCTAGGGAATTGCACCAAAATTGAGATTTTCTACAAACTCCCTTATTTCAGACAGTCTGTTAAGCTTAGGAAGGAGTCACATACAGGTTAGCACAATTTAATTGTTTACAATTTAATTTCTAGATTTAATACTGATAGCCTTGCTTCCAATTTTTGCATGTGCTGCTCACTTCAAACTTTCCTCATTCTTTTGTTGTGGTTAAAGCAGGTATCATGGGTGCTTGACAACTTGATTAAATTTTTAATCAAGTATGAGTAAAGAGTGGGTTTGGTGCATGACAGTAGATGCTGAGAGTTCCTTGAATCTGAAACAATTATCAGCTGCTGTGTTCTGTGATCAGCTGAAGTGTCAGTCTCTGGTGTATTTGTACATGGGAAGATGCCTTCTCACCATTTGTTACTGACATTTAAAATTAAAGACAGTGAAAACTAGGTGAAGTTAGAGAAGGTACATTATTAAACCCGAACCAATTAATTTAATTGTTTTCCATAACTGTATCATTGGCAGTAATGGAAATGCAGATTTTTGTCAAAAAGGCTATCACCTATATTAATCTGGAAATGCTGCTTTTGCAGCAAGTAAAGTTAAAGGTGAAGTATCACTCTTCTCTGGTCTCACAGATTGGAATTTTGGTTTGGATTTCTGGCACAAGCTGTCATGTAAAGTTACTCTTACATCCTCCCTTTTTTGCTGTACTATTGAAAAATGGTGCAGCATCACTGAAAGAGAATGGTTGTCAGGAAGGATTGTGTGCAAAGTCACTTAGGTGACTTTAACTTGGTGGCGTTGCTAATGATTTCAATGAGAAGTTTCTTCCAAATTTAGGAAATGAAATGTATTGAGACAGAAAAAGAACTAAAAATCAGTGAAAATTGTCATTGTCAGAAAAGTGGCTTCAGTGAAGGTGCCTTGAATAAGGGCAACTTGATTTAAAATTTAAGCTGTTCCTGAAAGTATCCATGAATGGCAGCTCAGATTTACTTGTGTTGCAGTGAAGGTCCAGTTTCACAAGTGGTGTAAGCCAGGAGCAGCACCACCTGCTTCTGATGAAGCTGAGATTAGTCTTACAGAATTAGGTCTGGCTTTGTGTGGGCCAGGTCCATGCTGGACCAGTGGGAATTCGGAGAAGTGGTAGGAGTGGTCTCTGTGCTGCCAAATTCACATTCTGTCAATACAAAACAAGCACACAGCCTTGCTGGTGGCTGTGTGTGGAGGGAAAGGCTTGAAGGCAAGCTGGACTTTTTATTTCTGGGTTCCTCTGAACCAAAGCAGTATGTGTAACATTCAGATTTAGGGCTAATGTCAACTAGCTCCAGCTTGAAAAAAAAATTCTAACAGGAAGAGTATTATTTTTTTCAACTAAACTTTACAGTGTAAAGAGCTAGTAAATTCACCATCATTCAAGAAAATGTAAATTTTAGAGAATGTAGTTGCACTTCTTTTGGAGCTTTAGGCAACTCTAAATGCATATAATTTAAACTACTAAATGGGCTCCTATTTTAATTTATGCCTTTTATTCAAAGGGTAAGAATTTTATAATAAAAGCTTAAATAGATGAAAATATGCCTCAAATCTGTGTATGGCTAATTCAGATAAACTTTGTGTTAAAGGAACTCGTGACAAAATTCAATTTAATTTTTACAATCTCCTCTAACTGTGAGAAAGCTAATGAAGTATCAGACACTTAACATCTAACATGTAGTACTAGGTGTTTAACCTTTTGGTTCCAGAGAAAATGGTAAACACATTGTTTTTTACATTGCTGTTTGCTTATAGTTCTGTGAGGGGAACTTCAGCTGCCATGACATCTCTTTCTGGTAAAATTATTAGTTCCTTGTTTGCATTATGTTCAGCGATCTTTATCCTACACGCTGTCAAATAAGATAACTTCTCTTCTTCACTTCAGGCTGATATGAACTGGGTGCATCATTCAGCCCTAAATGGAAAAATGCAGACAAAGCTACCAAAGAAAAGCCCTCCTTTGGCTGAGAAGGGCAGGCAGAGCTCGGCAGTGAGGAGCTACGAGCAGCCCACCATCGCCTCCAAGTCGCACTCCCCCTCCCCGTACACCAAGCGCCGCATGTGCGAGCTCTCGGAGGAGGCCAGGCAGAGACTGGCCCACCTGAACCTGGGGCCTCACGAGTTCAGGAGAGACACTGACAAACCTCCCTTTGTCATCAGACGGGTTTGTATTCGCTCCAAGGTGCTTCCAGCTTAAGCTCAGTTCAAATATTGTTCTTTCACTAAATAGCGCTCCAAAAATTCATTCAGCTCTTAGTTTAGATGAATAATTTTTCCTCTCCTTAAGAGTCTGTCACAGAATGATTTAAATGTAAAATTAACTAAAATAAAATTTCTTTTATCCGCTTTAGTAACAGACAAAGATCAAATTCTTTCATGAATATCTTGGTTAAATTCTCTGAGGCCCCATTTCTTTTCTTCCAGCACACTAGACAGGATAATAGGTGTATAAATTCAGCTTGGAAGTAATTGATATTAGTATTAAAAAATCCTGAATAAGACTTTAAAGAAAGAGTGTCTAGTCACATTATGAGCACTTACACTTCCTCTCTTTCAACTTTTTTTTATGTTGGCATCCTGTGATCTTTGGAACACTTCCTTTGCTCAGAGCTACATCTCAAACACTTTGACTTAGAGTTCATAACATAAGAACATTCTGCCATACATGAAAAATTGTCCTGAAATTAGGTACTTATTTAAAGAAATTGTGTGTAACTCTTAAAATCAAAGAGCTACGTTTCCCAGACACCTGGAGGATAATATACTCATTTTTTTCCCCCCTCTTAATTTTTCTTCGTATTGGAACAATACTCTGTTTTTAGAAAATCACTTCAAATTTGTAGGGGCAGAAATGGGATTGTTCATCTTCTGTGCTGTGACATTATGATTTCTCTATAGTTCTGGGCACATACCACAACCAGTTAGATAATCTAGTGGTTGAATAGTTTGCTTCTACCTTTTTACCTAGTATCAGTACTAATTAATTAATAATATATAGTCAAAGTTTAGAATTCTTTCCCAAGCTTTATTCTACATATAGCTACCTTTTAGAAATTCAAAAGAGCCTGAATAAGTCATTAATTATTCATCAATCTACTGTTTCTCTCAAATATTTTTCTTTTAACTCCTTTTATTCAATTCTTCTGGTTTTTGATCTATAGGTGAAGTTCATAGTTTAATTATAGTATCATTGACACTGATTATTGATTTTCAATGCTTGGTTATGTTTGTACAAAAAAAGGAGAAAGCTTGTCTCTTCATTCAGCAAGTCCTAGCTGTCATGGCCTTTCTTGATTGAGAGTTCTTTTAGGGAATCTTTACTGCTGAGAACTCTTTTGGCCTGGAGATTTTGTGTTACACGAAGATCAAAATTGGATTATATTAAATGTAACTTTTTAATTAGGAAGAGATTCAGATCTCTCTTGGTGAGCTCTGAGCTGTTTAGAATAAATATGAGATATCAGGAATTGTTTAAAAAGACTGCAGACATTACAGATGAAGGAGAAACTATCTGTATTTTTCCTTTCTTTGAACAATAGGACATTCAGAGTTTTCTAGAACTTTCTAGCACCATTTCTGTTTATGCACAGTAATGCTAATAATGCACACAAGCCAAGTGCTATGAAAATAGTCTAAAATCATATTTAAATAAAGTAAAATATTTTAGAAAGTACTAGTTGTGGTCTTATGAACAAAACCAGAAAAAAAAAAAAGGAATTGATACATCTGATACTGAGCATTTTAACAGTATTTTTGCTTCAGGTTGGACAACCAAGTCCTGGCATTAAACTTCATCCCTGGTGTTCCCTGCGAGAAAGCACAGCAGAAGCCTGGCCCAAGGCACCCCATGGTCAGTATTTTCTACTACATATCTCATTAATGCCTTTGATTTCTGCAGGAAGTAGTTTTATTTGGGGTTTTTTATTATTACTTTGGTTTTTTATTCATTATGAAAATGTCAGTGTGTGATGGAGAAAAAGCTGTTAGTTCTTCCTAGGAAAAGGAAGAATGCTTAATAAATTACTGCTTCAGAGGGTGCCCTTGAACAGTTCTTTACCTCATAAAGCTTGGAACATAGTTCTACATGATAGGAAAATAGGGGAGAATTCCAAAGCTCAGACGAGTGCTCTGTTTTACTCTACTTTTTTGTTGACTTGAATGGTGGAGAAAATCTGCACCATGGTTTGTGGGTGTGTTGATCAGACTTGGAGTATGGATTATGTTAAAGTTCAGGGGCTCTGTTCCTTCAAAAATTAAAAATTAAAAAATTAATAATGCTTATTTCAGCAGTATTTGTGAGCAGTGAATGAGTGACTTACCATTATTAATGAGCATCCAGGATATGCTGCAATATCTGCTTTAGCATCCTTTGGTATCAGTAAGTGAGAGTTTAATAAAAAGTGTGGGACCAGAAATTTAAGAAAGCACCCTAAAACTTGATTTTATTGCACGTCTTACAATATGAGGGTTTTAATGAATCTCATCAGTATTTGTTTATGTGTGCTTTGCCTCATTTTTATTTCATTTCCTCACTAATTATAATTTGTTATACAGCAAATCATTACGAACGTGCTATTTTACATTTGTTCTTTGTCGTTGCTTTGGGTGCTGGATTTTAAAGGTTTCACATCCCCTTTGGGAACAAATTGGCCAGTCTGTGATAGCTGGATAATGGAACAGACCAGATCATCTGATACCATTGCACACTTACAAAATGAGCTGGTGGTTTCTGGCCAGTATTTAGGAGACCAAGATCTACCTCACTATTAATATCCAGAGGGTTCTTTGGTCACCTGCCTGTGCCATGAGGCTTAACTGTAACTTCTGAAAAGAACAGATCCCTAGGATTAGAAATCTTAATGCAGACAGTACAGTTTAGTCCCTTTTTGCTTTTCCTGGGTCACAGGACTGTTCAGTACAAACTGGTATACCAGATGAAGAAAGCAGATTTAATGTCAGCTCCTCGGGGATGAGGTGCATATTGACACTGGTGAAAAATCCTAACCCAGTATGGGCCTGAGAGTTTCTCCATGGGTTTCCCTGGGCTTTGTATTCATTCAAATGTTTGTGAGTCAGTGGTGAAGGAAGGAATGCAGAGGTGATAGGAGGAGGGAGAGATGCTCACATGGAAATTTTTTCAGAGAGGATTAGTAAGGTAGAGGAATGTACATGAGAATTTTTGGGAATGGTAGAGCTTATTTTGATACTGATTTAAGCAAAAATAGTGTAACAAAATGTGCTACTTCTGTCTGTGCAGAAGATGGTACCTACACTGATTCATTATTACAAACACTGTATTCCATTCAATGGGAAGGTACGGTTTTCAGCTAAAGAAGGTGATTTCCTGAAATACAAGGAGGAGGCAAAATAATAAATTGTTTTAGTTTTGTTTGTGAGGACAGATAGGATGCTTTGTAAAAGATTTTATAGAATTTAGGAAATGCAAATATCTTTTTGATTTCTTCTGTCATGTACCATTTTTCTTTCTCCAGATCCTTCCCCTCTCAACAGCTACAGACCCAGGAAAACTGAAGTGAGTACTCTGAAGTGTTTTTGCTTACACACTGTTTTTTGGGAAGCTCCAAGCTTCCCAGTCTTTTCTTGGGTTGTCTTGCGTAGGTATTTTTGAAACTTTATCTACTGTAGTATTAAAAGCAAGAAAAAGGATATTTTAAATCTGATCTAGGCTGTTTAAGGTCTGCTGACAGATTATTTACAAACAGTAGAAGGAAACTTAGCACTCTTCAAAGATGCTTATGCCTGCACATACAGAATTTGCTTTTCCTTGGCATTAAGGCTTGCAGCAAGGCCATAGAGGAGCCTTTAAAGGTCATTAGCATTTGCCTTTCCAGTTATTCTATGAGCATTCTTAATTCTGGAACTGTGTGCAAAGGTAGCACTGGCACTACTAGGAAATCACTGTTGTGTTATTTCACATCCTTTCTTTTTCAGATTTTAGCTTCTTTCTGTATTAAATTAATCTAAAGATTAATTTCAGGGATGGTTTGGGTCTGGGAGGTCTTATTCTTTATGTCCTCACTTAGTTGTTTTTGCCTGTGTTCCTGAAGTACTGCAAAAATAGTGGGTTTAGGCATTTAGTTATGTGTACCATCCTAGATTTCCTAATGGCTGGGAAAACTGATGATAATAGGGAGGAGGAAAGAAAGAGAATTATGAGGGTAAAGTTTGATATATATGTTAAGCACACATTTCTCAGAGTCTGAACTTTTATTACCGAGGACTGTAGTTCTGTTTACCATATGAGTCTAATACATTGTGCTGCCTCTGGATTGTTCCACGGGTTGTTTAGACTCTCAGGCACTATTCTGAATCCATAAGATTCCTGGGGAGGGTAAGCCTTTAGGTTGTACACTCAGAAAAGTTGATAAAAGGGCTGTTGCAGTAGTTTCACATAAGATGGTGTGTTAGTTACCAACAAATTCCTCTGAGACTTGTTGGTTTACTTTAGGCCATGGATTTTTGTATGAAATTCGGGTTCTTGTTCTTTCCCCAGCAGATAGATATTCCTGAATGAATATATAATGTTTAACCTTTCAGGTTGAGAAATAAAAGCATGAAAATTGTACATCTTGATATTTGTAATAAATTTTAGTTTGGTGGGGTATTTTTCAGGCAAAATCTACCAGTGGAAAAGGCTTGGACAGTTCTGCTCTTTGCAAGGAGGATGTGAGCCCAGATCCATCCAACAGGGAGTCCCATTCTGCTGCTTCTTTGGAGCATTCAGCACCTCCAGCAGGTCAGGAGCCTTCTCCAAGTTCTGTGCTGAACCGATCTTCTCTGAGGGAAAGGTAATGCCCTGGTTTTGTTTGTGACACTCTGGAATTAGGAACATGAGACAGTGATAGCAGTGCCTGCATGACTGTAGTTTGCATGTTTGGAAGTGTGAGGGCTGAAAAAAAGACTGAAAAATCTTCCTGCAACAGCTGTGTTGTTGTTTGACTTTTGCTGTGTTTGCCATCACCTCTCTGCTTGATGATTACAGTCCTAGTAACATGGCAGTGAAAATCTCTGGAATGGTGACACCCCAGATTTTAGGCTGCCAATGTCCATCTGGAACAGAGAATGAATAAATCATCACTTAAATGAATCATCACTGTTTCAGATGTGATTGGAATCTCAGGAATGTAAATACAGATTTGTAAAAATGGCAAGTAAACTTTACAGTAGGTACTTGGAAACGTTTTTGCCATCTGACTTCTCACAGGTGTTTTTGAGCACACACTTGGGGCTGTGCTGTACTCACATGTGTGATTGGAGTGCATAACATGCTTGGGCTAGCCTTAATCTACTCAGTGTGTTATTTTCAAATCTTTTCACTTTGTTGACATCCTAAGATTTTGGTTTTGATTTTTTGAGTTGAAGTGTGGACCTCTGCCACTATTCTGTGTAAATTAATTGCTATATTTCAATTATTTTTCTTAGCTATGTCCACTGACCCCAGTGGGACTGGGTTGGGGACAGTTTCAAATATCCTTTAATTCAGTGGATTTCAGTCCCCAAGGTAATATTTTGGGCCAGTTTCCCAGCTTCGGTGTCTTATGAGGGTGGAATGGAAGAAATGTCAAAAAAGCAGCAAATGATTTCATGCTTAAGCCCTCCAGTTCTTCAAGGAGAGTATTTCCTGCTTCCCGCTGAGTAGAACATGTTCTTGGTGCTTCTCTTGTACATTCAAGTAACAAGTTACTGGTTGGCTTTCTGGGAACAGAAAAACTGTATGCAAAGCTAGTCCTGAGTAAGCAAATAGGTAAAATAATTGGGAGAAACTAAGGATTAAACGGATGACCTGTCCTAAATGCTGAAGATGTGCTTTGGTGACCAGTTCACACTGTTACCATTAGTACCAAGTAAGTCAATGCTTGCAGGTTGCATTTTACAGCCTACACACAGTCTAATGCTTGTTTCCAAAACAGAAAAACAGTCTCAGTTTTTTCTTTAAAAAGAAAAATGACAGATGGCAGGTGGGGACTGAATTTTTAATACTCACAAAGATCAAGTTGGTGTTTTAACATCTTCCTCTGCTTGAAAACTTGTTTGTTAGTTGTTCTGTGTAATAGTGTATCTTGAGAAGTGTTACACAGCGATTAGGATGTATCTGGGGTTTGAAGGAGGTTTCTTTGTCGTCTTGTCTGCCTCCCCACTCTTCTCTGACAATGTTTGTGCATTAGTTACCCATATCTGGGGAGGAGATATTGTCATGGTAACTTTTTTATCCTTTTTTCAGCTGGACTCCTTTTGGAGGGATTTGGGCTAAATTATATAGACATTTTATTTAGAGCTGATGGGGTGCCTTCTATTGATAGCAGGAAAGTCTTGTATGTTGTGAGCTGATGTTACATGCATAGTAATTCAGTCGTCTGCCAGTTAATCTTGAACTTGTCTGAATGTTCTTGCTTTTTTCTTTATGAGCCTCTCTCCAGAAGAGATTTCTGATCTTGTGAAATTATGTTTTTTCTTCTTATTAAAGGAAATGTTCTCAGCTCTTCAGAGCTGTAACATCTCTTTATGTAAAATATGTAACCATTTACTTCTGTCATCAGAAAAAAAAATCAAAATGAGAAATAAAGGGCATAGTCTAAAAAAAATTGATCTCTGTTTCATGCTGCTGAGATAACAATGGTTTTAGCTGATTGTGTACTGAGAGTTATACTTGGAATGACAAACATGGTTTAGAGGTCAATGTTTGGAAATGCATGCAAACGCTGCTGTTCAGATCATACAAATACAGAGGAAATCAGTGCACTGAAAGAAAAGCAGTGTTAGTGTAATTGAAAGAATATGGAGTCTTACCTCACAGTATTTGTTGTTTATTTCCTCAATTTTATTTTGAATTACAAAGACAAATTGCTTAGCATATCCAGGCTACTGTTTTTAATGCTAGTCAATCCACAGTCAATATGAAATTTGACTCCCCACCTCGACCTTTAGTTCCCTCTTTTCCCTTTCGTTTTTAAAAAGTAGTATGAAGTGACTGTCTGCCTTCTTGGGAGTACCTCCCAGAGCCCTGCTGTGTGGTTGTTAAACCACTGCAATACTTTTCAGTGAGACAGAAATTGGGGTCTTGTGCAAGGTCCTCTGAGCCCTTTTGTATCCTCCCTGGCAGTTTTCAGTCCCTTTCTTTGAGCATGCTAGAGACACCACAAATCAATCCTCTTCCCCTTTCCTCTGTGATTTCAGTCCGAAGCAGAACTGTAAATAGATTTACTATTGAACAGGACAGCCAAGTTTTGAATATTGATTTTTCATACTTTCTTTTTACATTTTTCTTTATGGAGGCATTTGCTGATGTTGGAAGCTGACACTCAGCAGAGTGATGTGGCCGCACAACCCTCCAGAGGTCCCTTCCTGCCCTCACCATTCCGTGATTCTGTAGGTTTGGCTGCAGCTCCTGTGCAGACCAGTGGCACTCCCAGACCCCCGAGTTTGCCACACCCTGTGCCCCACAGTGTGCCAAGGCAGTTGTTTGCTTGGTTGTGCAGAGATCAGTGGCCTGATGTGGAAAGAGTATTCATACTCTGCCTTTTCAGTGCTGCTTCAGGAAAGCAAAATTGGAGTCAAGTCCTTGCTTTCATGGTGCACAGACATCCTCATGCACTCCTAGAAGATGGGGTTTTTCTTGGGGACTTACAAGCTAAGCCTTCCTTGCAGCACTGAAACCTGCAGCAAACTACCTGTCAGAAAGAAAAGGAGAAATAGTGAGATGGATTCCATAAGGTCAAGAAGTCCTTTGAACAGAGCTGTGTGCTGGCACAAGAAAAATCCTTTCCTCAAGAGACTACAACAATCATGGGAGTATTTGACTGCTTCTGTTATGTGAGAGGCAAAGCTACTTCTCGTGCATTTGGGATCAAAGGAGCCTTTTTCCTACTCTGGAAATAGCTTGCTTCTGCTTTTGTTTCCAGATTGAAGTGCAGTTCGATAGCTTTTTTCATGTTCTCCTGGTTATGCTGCTGGTATGTGATCTTACCTGCTATAAAATTTAACAAAAACCTGAGTTCTCTTTGAAGTGAGACAGAGGTTAAGTGTCTGGATCTGATGCCCTTCTGTAATACTCCTCTATTGTTTTACTACCATCTTTTCTTATTCTCATTTTCCTACTCCTAGGGAAATAACAGCATGAAGTTAGATATTGGCAGTGATAGATATAATGAAAGATACAAATAGATATTAATGAAATACTGGATCCTATGTGAAGTCCTTGAAAACACCAGTTACCAGAATTTTTGGCTTCAGTGATCTTGAAAACGATCATGCCAGGATCTTGGGGGTTATTTTTATTGCGCAGCAAAAAGCAGAAACAGGTGGTTCACCTGGTATTTTAGAGACTGGCATGCATCCTGAGACAGGGCTTGCTTCTGTGAGAGGGTATGCTTTAAGAGAGCTTTTGAGAACTTCTGCTGCAAAGTAGAACACTGAAAAATATTGCAGGTTTCTTAGGAAAAAGAAATCAGATCATGAAATCTCAGGAGAGCCTGCACCTTGGCTTCCTGTCTGTTTCTAGCCATTTAAAAGTCATTACTTCTGATTTTTGGAATTTACTTCTGTAGGAATGTTTTGGGTTTACCAATCTCACCTCTTGGGAAAGTTTACTTCTTTTGTATCCTTTAAATATTAACTTCTGGAATCAGCACTTGAAAGTCAGTTATTTCATACTGCATTCTGCAAAAGTGAGCAATACCTAAACCTTCTTTCATATTTTTGACCAACATCTGTACTATTTGTCATCTGCATTGGTTGATTTTGCTGCAGCAGTAAGTAAATTTGAAACTGATTGCTGTCAGAGCCATTTTGTGTATAAATTAATAAATTCAGAGAAGATAGAAGGTAATGGAAAATCTTGCAAAGAGCATAAGGAGGTGCAGCCAATTTGTGACATACTAATGATTTAGTACCAGAAAGACTTCAACCTTTTGGGAGCAACTGCTTAGCTGGAGTATTGACTTTCATTGAAATTTCGGAAGCTGTCTGCCATTAACTTTCTTTCTACATGATGTATATTGCCACAGTTTTAAGGGCTGGATATGAAAAGGAAGAGGAAAAAAGCATTTACTGATTTAAGAACTCAGCACTGAACGTGTCACAAGTGCTTCAAGGCCCAGCTATAAACAGGGCTTTCGAAAGTAAGAGAAGCTACATAGAAAGCATGAGAAATTTTACCTTTTTTTTCCTGTCTTGGTTTAGAGGGAGAGAAAATTGGTACACAGCTGAGCTGTCAGCTTCTGCTTCCAAATATTTAGGCTTCTGTGCTCTGATTTAAGGCCCTGTGTGTGTGTGGTTGTTCCTGCTTCATAGTAATATCCTGCTACTGTGAAAGCAACCACACTCCTCCACTTCCAACATTGTGAGAATGTGGGGGGTTTGTGTTGGTATAACTTCATTACAATTCAGGCTTCTATGTATAAACAGAGGCTCTAAAACACTTCTGGGCTGCATCATAGCCATCGGTCGCTTTAAGAAAAAGCAAACCAAAATTGTGTCCTTGACTAAATAGACCTGGAAAACCCTGAAGTGTAGCCCAGCTTTTCTATTGTGCCTCCTCACAGACTATGTGCTGAAAACCAGGTTCATCCTGCTGAATTACCACCTCAGGTCCTCTAAAATGAGAGTAAAGCCATGTCCTTCCCTACTATGAATGCTGAATAAATACCTGCACAGATATAAAATATGTGAGGTGGGGTTTTTTGTGCAAGTTCTTGCAGATTGTGTTTTTTTCAGGTTATACTCAGCTATAAGTGTTCTTACTCTCTCTTCCCCCCAATTACAGTGGTGAATCTGGTACTACAGGACTCCATTGATTTCTGCCCTCTGATAGTTTGTCCTTGTATGGGGTTTTGCTCAGCGTGAGGACTTTGTGTCTTTGAAGCTGATGAATTCTGTGGAGGCCGCATGCACGGAATTGTTCCCAAGGCAGGGAGGTGCTCTGCTGGGGGAAGGGGTCACAAGAGCCACTGCAAGTACTCTGCACAAGGCTCTAGCATTAATTCTGCTGATGTGAAATGTATTAATATCTCCTGCTGAAATGTGATATTAATGTTTTTGCTACGTGCAAGTGGATGATTGGATTGTCTGACATTTAAAAATTCCTATTTATTACAGCTCTCAAGTTTGCAGGCTGCTGTTTGAGTAGAGTACATGGGTGGATGTATCCTGTTTGCATTTCTAATGGAGTATTTCATCCTAATGGATAAAATTGTACATGAAAATCATCTTTAGCACAAAATCTACACTATCTGTTTGGCTTCTTTTTTTTTTTTTCCATCAAGGTAGATGTTGTCAGTATGACCTTAAAAAATCCTTATCTCATAAAAGAAAATAAATGCCTTTTAGTCACATTACAAGGGAAAATGGTTCTGTTTCCTTGATCGGACTCAACACAACATCTTTGAAATTAATCTTGAAAAGTTCTCTGATTGATCTGGCTTTTTCTAGGTCACTGAGCTATATTTCCAAAGTGTTTATACAATCTATTGGAATCAATAAACAATTTAAACTGATGTAACTGCAGAATGTTTGCAAGTCCCAGGGAAAATTGAAAGTATGACAAAGAATACAGCTGTAGAAGTTTATTTCGTTTATCAGGACAAACAGTCATTGAAATGAAATGACTTTCCTTTGAACACTGCAATATGATAGTGACACTTTAATCACATAAATAAGTAGCTGTTCATTTTAAAGAGTTGTTATTGGTGATTTTGGGCAAATAGAATCCCTTTATTTATACTCCAAGAAGCTGTGCAGTAAAGCCCGTTTGATAAAGTATTTCCAATAAGAGAGTTGGAATATAAAAAGGTTTCACTTCAGATTATGGTTGTTGTGTTTCAGGCATGATTTTATTTTAGTTTGTACTTTGTTTGGTAAATATTAACATTATTCTTTAAACGTGGATTAGACCCTATAGTTGTTGCTAAAATTAGACAAAAATACTAGAAAAGCTAATTAAAAAGAAGATGATACCATTTTTAATCACACTTAAGGTTTTTTGGGGTTCTTTTTAATTTGTTTTTTTTTTTTGGTAAATGAAGTTTGGGGGTCTGTGTGAGGGTCCAACATTTGTTATACCACAGCGCACACTAGTGGATTGATCCATAAAATCACCTGGAGAAAGAATTTAATAGTTCTCAAATTAAGTACTTAAATCTTCTTCATGCAGACATAGCCATGTATTTTCTAACTGAATACAATAGCAGGCTGGGTTTTCTTTTTTTTTTCCCCAAAAGTAAATACATTTATCTCAAAGGATATTTGTAAATTTACGATTAATAACAATGACCCGAAATCTTACATACGAATTTCATAAAATTTATTTCCCAAAGGCAATGTATTCCAGTTTCTCAGAGCAAGCAACCTGAATGTTGGAAGAACAGCAGCTGCTGTATAAATAAGGGAAAATGCCATGACTTCATGGCTCTATCTTTTATTTGTCAAATGGGAAATGACTCACTCTTAGTGCATCTAGGATGCAGATTTTTAAACATGCATTTCAGCGGTCCTTTAATATCAGTAAATGTTGTAAATTCTAATGGGAAGCCGTAAGATGATAGTATCACTGCAGACCCTTTCCCTTACCTGTCTTCTTTTGAAAAAAAAGTGGGTTTTTTTTTCAAAACAGGTGGTAGAGCACAAGCATTGTAATGAAGTACATCAAATGGGGTTTGACTGCATTAGGAAAGTGAACATTCCTTTCTGCTTAAGGGACTCAGACTTCTGTTTCTTTAAAGGCAGTGCTTTTCTACCCTAACAAAATTCTCAAACCATTTTACATTCTTTTAGAAGAAGGTATGTGAAATCTTTCAGTGCAACAGATTGCTGGGTTCTAGTATGCAAAAGAATTGTACAGTATGGATTTGCCATACATGCTCTTGGGTTTGGAATTCATTGCAGAATTCTCAGGAAGGTAATATGAATGCTGTAGACAGCTTGGTGAAAATTCCTGCTTGTAGTGATGCGAGGATAAACAACAATGAAATCTTTAGAAATCATATGGATTATTTGTTATATACCTCCAATATTTTGTCATTTCTTGGCACCCTTTCCTGAAGAAAAATAGAAGCATTCGCAAGTAGATGAATTGATTTAAAGAAGCTCATATATAAGCTGAAAATACTGCTGCTGTTTAGAACAACAAGAGATATTTTGGACATACAAGCAACAATAATGAGTCCAAATAAGTTGTTTAGATAGAAGAAAATAGAAGAAGATTACTCAAAAGCAAGGAACTGGTCACTTTCTAGTTATATTTCAATCTTTGTCCCTGGTAATAAAAGGAATGATCCAAAAGATTGCAAAGAACACTATGCCCTGCCTGCAACCTTCAAGATAATCTGGCACGTCCCATTTTCAGCATCCTGTTCCCATTAATTTTTACATTTCTAAGCTGCCTGTTTTGTACTGAAGCTGTCTCTGTGTACTTGGTTTGTTCTTTTTGAAAGGAGCTGAGCAGTTCTTGAGCTTTATTGAAATTTGTGGAGGTTTGGTGAAGGTGAACTGAGCCAGGCGCAGTCAGACTGGGGATTTGAGAGTGATAGACTGGATAATGCAGAGAATGTGATAACTCAGAGAGAGGGGGGCAGGAGAGCTGGCACTCCCAGTCCCTGTACAGAGCAAACTGGAATCTCAGGGCTCAGAGACACGCTGTTTCTCCACTGCATCAATTCTGGGAAGCCACCAAAGCATGTCGGTGTTGCAGGTGCTCCTGATCCGGGCAGGGAATGGCAGCTCCGTGCTGTTGTTGGCTGCTGTTCAGCAGCTCAGATTGCAGTGCCTGCTTCGCCAGCTCACAGCTCGCCCACTGACCCGTGCTCTCATTAGCATGATACCCCATCATGAGTTGTGATTTTCTTGGTGCGAAGTCAAGCTCTCAGAGCTTAGGCAACATTGAAATGAAGATGCAGAATCTTCATTTGATGCTCTTTCCAGTGTGATGAGCTTATGTAAGTTAGCGTTTCATAACTTTACTCAAATTATTCTTTCCTTCTACTGATGTCTCTTTTTGAAAAAAAATACATTTTTTAATGTTGCCATGTAAAGGATTCTGTTCTTAAAGTCTTAGTTGCCTCCCTTAAGAGACTGGGGATAACTATAGATATGAAATTTCTGCCATCTTATGAACTTGCTGAGAAGGATGAGGGCATTTTAGTAAAGTGGAAAAAAATAATCCAAAACATAATAAGGTAAAACCCAAAAGTAGATGTTTGTTTTAAATTACTCATACCAAGCAAGCTACTTAGTTTTTAATATTAAAAAAAAAACCAAATCAAAACCAAACAAACTTAAAATGCATTTCTTCTTGTGAAATAAAGACTGCAATTGCAAGTTTTTGACTCCATGTGTTTTCCAATTTGTATGCATTGGGGTTACCTTCCTTTTGATTTATTCCAGTGAAAAGAACTTCATGTGTGCAATACTTCCTTTAAAGAAAGGCAAATGAAACCTGATCACTGGGAATAGTATAGCTTTTTTATTCTGTAGGGACCACACAAATGTTACAGAAATATTACTCAAGTTACAAAATCATCAACATTTTCTGGTTTTCATCTTCTGTTGGTGTTGTGGCTACATACTGTTTATGCACTGCTTTGAAATGTTTCTTTACTTGTACCCCAGAGAAGAATAAGAATCAAATCAAAACATGGTGTGTGTTCCAAATAGAAGGAAGTAATGCATGCTTCATAATTAAAAGGAAAATGAAATCTCAAAGAGTTCTTCAACAAGAAAATATTTCTTCACTTCATTTTTCCTCTTCCTCTTGCAGATTTAGCACTGGTTGGCCTTCACCAGCAAATGGAGATGAGATCCATAAAAGAGTGAAAAATATTTTAAGGACACACAGTGCTAGACAGCGCCTAGTATTTGTAAGTTTGCAAACTAAATCATTTCTCTTCTCTAAAATGGCTGAAAAAGTGAACTGTGCCTACAGTCTTGGATTTATTATAATGTTGTCCTTTCAGACAGCCTTGATTGTAGAAATATGGATTTGGTGTGTGAGCTCAACAGTTTCACACTGATTTCAGAAGTCTCCTTATCTTTTGCCTTTATGGGAAAATGGTACAGGCAACCCTGTTCTCAATAAGCCCCAAATAATGGCTTATTGAGAACAATTATATTGGGTTTTGGTTTTTTTTATATTCTTATTTTCCACTCCCAATTTAAGCAAATGTGTAGGTGATTCATCGGTAGATTCTACAAATCTACAGATGTGTAGAACATCAAGGCTTAACATGTTGTGCAGCTGCACATCAGCAGCTGCATGTATCCAGCTATTTCTAGAGCTAATATTATTATTCAGGTGTGAGCTTTTTTTCCCTTAATTACCTGGCTTTCAATGAACAGAGCTCTTTGTCTAATGAGATTATACCTGGGAACAGAGTACTTTACCCATGATGAAATTTTGAGGTGTGGTTTTAGACAGACAAAAATTTTTCCTATTGTGATTTTGAGAAACACAGTTTCTCAAAGAAATGCCTGAGCATTGTACCAGGTGAATAAGAAGATTGTTCATCTGCAGAGAATTTAGAATCTTGAGTGTGAGGTGAGGCAAAAGAATGGTAGAATAAAAAGCTTGTAAGGATGAGATTTGATCATGATACAATGATCATAATGATGATTATGATATAAGATGATGAGGAGCTCTGGCAATCTAACTCAGAAATGTTATTGATGGGTTAGAAGGGACGTAAGTCTCCCAAAGTGGAGAAAAGCATCTTTTTTTGCTTCAGTTTCTCTCTTAGAAAATGAAATGTTGACAGAAATCTGCTTTTGAATGTTGATGCAATTTTAAGTTGTCACTGTCCCCAGCTGTCCACCTTCCCCCTCGGCTGCAGGTCCCTGTATCAGTGGGAAGTGGGATAAAAAATGTGGGAGCCCTGATGTCCCCCTGTCACATTGCCCACAGCCAGGGCAGGTGCAGCACTGCTGTGCTAGCAGGGATGGGGCTCTCCACTGGCTACAGGAAATCCATGGCAGAAATGATCTTTATTGTCATGATCCACTCCTGCTAGATGGATTGAAGAACATCTGTCTTCACTCTGAAGTCCTTATTTATTTGTTTGTTTATTTGTTTGTTTATTCATGTCCCCAGATTTAGCCATGGTGGGCAGCTCATTGTCTTGCCTCATTCTCACTTAATCTGATTATTTTCTCATTTCTGTTAAGTGTTCATTTTTGGCTTAGTTGTTATGGGTTTTGTTTTTAACTCAGAAAAACCTTGTCTCATGCATACTAGGACTGCTAGTTCATGAGGAGGTACAGCTAGTTCATGCTGTACCTCCCTGAGTTTTTATAAGAATGTTACGATTTTGTGAGCTGCTGCCTCTCAAATAGAAGATGCCCATGACAGTTTTCTGTGTTTCAGCCACTCAGAATAGGTACAAATCATGTCAAATGCTCCCCTGATGATTCAACGAACTTAAGATAACAAACTGGATTTCCTGAGAGTCCAGCATGTACATTTAATGAACGCTTGCACAGCCTGAACTACCTCTGGTGGTTCTTGCCTGCTTTCCTCAAACAGTAGACCATGACTTTCTGATCAGGAGAGTTGGATGATTGGTTACATGGTCTCTCCATGCAGTCAAAAAGACTCTGCAAACATTGTGGTGGAATTCTTGAATTGTAGTACTTTCTGTTGGCTTTCTCTAGATGCACCTTGTCACTTCCAGAATCAAATGCTTGCTGAATCCTCACAGGAATGAATAAGCAGAGATGATACTTGGTCCTCTTCTGTTGGAAAACTTTGTGTTTCTGCCCTGAAAAATCCAGCTATTAGGGTACTGGCTCTTTAATTACCAGCCTGATCAAACCAGTGCTGGCAAAGGACCGCTTTTCTCACTCCATTTTCTTCCACTGAAGGATGCATGAAGGCAAAAGGAGGGGAAAGATGCTACAGAGAAGTCTTGTGGTGTCAGATAGTTGGGTAGAGCTGGCTCATGAAAGCTGTGCTAACAGCAGCTGACATGATTAAAAAAAGAAAAAAAATCAGTTCTTCTTGCAGTGAGTGCTGTAAAATACACCAGAATTGATTGTGCTCCCCCACATGGCCCAAAACCAAGGCTGTGGTGTTGCACAGTGGATGGCCAAGGTAAATGGGTCATCTTGAAAGTGAAGGAGTAAAGCAAGTGTATTGGCAATGTGGTGAGCAGATTCTGGCTCCAATCTAGATCCTCTTCAAACTTTGAAAGGTTAGAAAGTACCTCTTTCTCTGTTTCATTCCAAAGAGCCTAATACTAAATAACCATTCCCAGAAGCATACAGCTGTGTCTTCCAAAATTTCATTTTCATAGTGCTTTGCAAAAATAGTGTGACTGGAGCTCTGCTGGAGATTCCTTGGGGTGTCCACTGTACCCTTCTGCTGTGACATTCTGACAGTATCATAATGCTTCCATCTTCTTTTGCTTTCCAGAACATAATTTGCCTCTGGCAAATGCTGCAGAATTTTATTTACGATTGTACCCCATTTCCTCTTTAGTGCTTTGTTGTCTGTGACTGCTGAAGGAAGAGAGCTCTCCTGTTTACAAACACACTTATTACCTTGTATTTCACCACAGTAAATTCTCTCAGGTTTTTCCTCATCCATATGCTGCTGTTCAGCTTGCTCTGCATCTTATTGCCATCTACCACTATATTTATTGTCTTTTCTCCCAGTTCTGTGTTACCGGCAAATGTGATTATTTTTACTGCAGTCTTTTTTCCAATTATTTCTCCTATAGCATGAAAGATGACTTTGTTTACTAATCCTTACAGCAATTGACTTGTGCTGAAAGCATCACTTAATATCACCCCTTAAGTAGGGTCTTTGCTCTTCAGAGTAAAGTGAATGTGATTGTGTGTGCTGGAATTTCTACCATCCCATCTCAGGTGAGCAGCTGGCTCCCTCTACATGGGTGTTTTGTTTCTTTCTTACTTGAAAGGGCAAATTTGGGTTAATTAATGTCTAGATAACATTTGGAAGGTAAAACTGCATTCTAGCAACTGAGAATACTTGACTGAAGGGTCGTTAAGTGTATCAGATTTTTTGAAGTTCAATAAGCATGTGCTCAGCCTTGGATATGAAATTGAAGAATTGAGATGTGTGGAATGCTTCTGCCTTGTAAAACATATGAATGGATAACATAATAAGTTTTAGGTTCTTTTTCCCCTTTTCTGCAAGAAACACAAAAGCAGTAAGCAGTAGGTTTTGTAGCATTTTGCCAATGTGTTTATTGGGGTTTCTTGAAGCTTCTGCTGTCTGCACAGTTCTCTAGATTTACACTGTCTAGAAATTCTTTCCAGTTTATTACCTGAAAATTATTGGTTGAATTGTACTGAATTTAATTTAAAGTGTTCATAAATGGCATTTGGCTCATTACATTTTGTCCCTTTCTCCCCCAAGAAATGTAAGCACTTTAATAGTCCTCTAAATGGAAGGAAAGTATTTTTGCAATAAGATCATTGTAATCAGAAACCAAAGTAATGTAAATTTGATTTCTGGGGTTTTTTTTAGGATGATTTGCCTCAGACAAGAGAACCTCCTTCAGTTTATGTGCCCTTAACCATGAGTGAGCTGCAGAGCAGGTATGGAGTTTTTCTCTGGCCAAGACAAAACAGTCATACTCAATATTGCCCTTTACATTTAGCTAAAAATTTCTCTTCCCATTTTGAGCTTTGTCCTGTATTACACAGGGAAAATGTTTTGGGAGGCATTACTCATACAAAGCTTTCTCACCTAAAAGCAAAATAGAGTTAAATATAATTATGCCTTTGATGTTGTTTGGCACTGTGTCAGTGTAGCCTTCATAAAACACCGGGTTTGGAACTGGACTTGGCTATAAAAATCATCCTTGAGCAGAAGTTTTTGGAATTTGTCAAGCAGAGAGCAAATGTCACTTTTAAAATAATCACTTGGTTATTTTTTTCTTAAAACTATGGGAGTGCAAAAATAAATTTAAGTTTATTTAGTAATATGGTTTGAGTCTGGGTTTTTGGATGTGTTTTTGTTGTTTGTTTTTTGGGTTTTGGGATTTATTTATTTTTTTTCAAAACAGATATTTGGAAAAGAGAAGTATTTTCCAAAAAATACAGCAAATTTATATGGTATAATTCAGGGATTCAGCATGCCGTATTTCAAAGCTGTCTTGGAGACCTGAAATCTTAAAAACTTGGTTTAGGTACATTAATTTTTCTGTGTACTCCTCACATACATGACCAGGGTTTAATTTCAACAATTTACTTATTAGATACCAATTAGATTGATTTTGATGACTTCTGTAGTAGAAATTACCAGTTTTGATGTTCTATGTTTATGCACACAGTATTTTGTACAATGTTTTGGGTACCTCTTGGAGGGAAAAGAGTAAGTATTGGAAATCTTTCTTGGGCTCCTGTGGCTTTTCTGGTTTTCTTTATATTAAGGGAGAAGCCCTAGAACTGTGGTGCTGTATTTAAGAGGTGTTGCCATTAGAAAAGGCTTTATTTGGATAATTAAATGTCACACACTGTTTCCTAACAAAGGTACTCCAAATCACCACTGTACCCCCCTGACAGAAGGGTATTTCAATATGGGTGCCATAACAAACTTCTACTTGAAATTTATAAGCTAAAAAAGTTCATTTATGATTTGCTGGCTTCTTTAAAAATCCCTGTGATTTGTTTTCCCCTCTGTGCAAGGGATTACTTGGATTTCCATATGGTTGTGACATTGCTGCTGCAGTTGTGTCTCCTGTACCAGTGCTCACTCCTGTATCTGCATAGCCTTTCTGCTCCCTTATCCTTTGTCCTGACTGCTGGGGCAATTAAATGGTGTAGGATGTGTTTGTGAGAGAGAAAGTTTGAATGTGTGTTTTGAGGCAGCTTTGGGACTTTGAGATTTATGCTGAAACTGCAGACCATGAAAAAAATGGAAAACAACTCTTAATACTCCAGAATCCTGAAGTGATGGGAAATGAAATGTGGCACTCGGGTTGGCTCCTTGGGTTTAGGGGCCGGCAGCACTGGGGGTGAGACATAAAGGCCTCGAGGACATTCAGATTGCTGAGTGTTTGCCACAGTGCTCGTAAACAGGATACAAGGACAGAGACAGAGTTCATGGAAGGACAGGGTACTGTCGACCAAATGCTGGCAGTAAAGTAGATGGATGATTGAAAACCGCTGGGAGTAAGGAAAAGGTCTGTGTTTTGTGAAATATTTAGTATATGATTCACTCAGAAAAGAACTTCTGGGACTCTTAAAGGAGATGTATGAGGGAACAAAAGCATATGACAGGTATTTCAGAGCAGGGAGTTGCGTGCAGAAATCCTGCTGTTAATATGATTTGTGAGTGTAATTCCCAGATTGCTTAGCTCAGGTTGTCAGCTGGTTTCCAGTTGAGACAGGAGAGGGAATCTTCCCTAACTTGACTGTAGCTTTATCCAGGTATCTCGTGGACAAGGGCTGGCTAATGGAAATACATGACAACACACACCCCTCCAAAAAGAGAAGGGAAAACGAAGCTTTTTTATAAGTCTTTGTCAGTACCGCCATAAAGAACTTGTCAAAGTTACTGTTGGGTTTTGAGTCTTTACTGCAATTAAAATGTTGGATTTTGAGTGTCTCTAGGTAAATTCAGCTTTTAGGAGAAGAAAAGGCAAGCACAAGGCTGGTGCTGGAAATGATTCCAAGGAAAAGAGTGTCAGAGCTGTTCATTGTCTAGTTACAAGTGCTGTGCCTGCTTGTTGGCCTGAGAATGCTCCATCAGAAGTGAGGGACCACAAACTGCAGGAAGGAGGAGGTGAAACTGCAGTTATTGATGAGTCCCAGGGTATTGACTTGTCTGCATTTGACACAGGCCTGTGTAACTTCTTTATTGATTTTGGTTAGCAGGTTGGTTTCTTTGCGTCCAAACTGTGAAGCACAGTTAACTCGGGGTGATAAACAGGTTTAAATTCGCTCCATGCCATTGATTGACTTGAAAGGTTGGAGCCTTTTTGAATAAGGGTGGAAGTGGTCTTCCTCTCTTTTTAATATTGGAGGTCTTGTTTTATTTGGTGTAGGTTGGCATTACCCTAATATTTGACTGTAAGAAGTTTAAAAGCAAAAGCTGTTCCTTCTTCTTTTTTTTTTTTTTCCCCATGAGATAGTAGAAGCTTAGAGATGTCAATTTAGAAAACTGATCCTACATCTTACTTTTCTTCCCCTTTTCTGTTTTTTCAAATGAAAACCTTGTGTTTTGATGCAGCTGGATATGTGTATTCATGGATTTGGCATAAAGTTTCTTTCAATTTTGTCACATGTTAGCTGATACTAACTTGAGGATGAAATTTTAAGTACTGGTTTGATTGCAGAAGACACTATCATTAATAAATGACACATATATAAGAAGCTGTGAAGCTTTCCTGTGAAATATAATCCATTTCCTAAGTGAAGATGGTCACTTTAAACTTCACATTTCCAGTTTTATTTCTCAGACGGAGAACATTTGCAAAAGCTGAAGATAACTCAGTCCTAATTTTAAAGTGTTTTAAGTGCCTAAATCTCTGAGCAGATGTGAAAAATGTCATCTCAGTTGTATTTTTTTTCTGATGATTTTTAAGCTTCTTTTTCATGCTTTATTACAGGGAAATTGCTCATTTAATTATATGACACAAACCTTTGTTTTGAAAGTATCAAGAGGAAGCAGATAGTAATGATGTTTAGATATAAACTATTCAGACTTGTCAGTGTTTTGTAATGATTTGCAGAGTATAAATTTCACTTCATAGATCAAGGGAATAATTTCTCAAAGCAACTGAAAGATGAGCCTGTATTTGTGTTTAGTATTAAAACAGTGACACAGAAGATGGGGTGGGGAAGGAACCCTGGATTGCCACTATATCAAAATGTATTTGGTAGAAAACTTAATCCAAGATGCTTCTGATAGAGCACTTTACAGCTGCAACCACAGTAATTTAATATCCCCCTGATAGATTGTCTTCATATTGAAATAGCTGCTTGTGGTTACTATTTCACCTTCAAAGGACACAAAAATCCTACTGTGTTTCTCTTGCCTAGTCACACAGCCTGCAAAAATACAGCAAAATTACTGCAGGTTCTCTGAACATTAATTCTATTTGGGGGGCATTGCAAAGTGTACTCAGTTAAAAGGGGGAGGATTTGTGTGAGTGAAGAACATGGGGGGTTTCCCATTTCTTAAAAGTAGCTGCAGTTTTTTAATAAAACTAAAAAATATTTTTTTTTAATAAAATAGTTTTTATTTTGGTTTGTGGAGGTAATCTGTGCTAAGCAGCTCTACCTTGATATTTCTGCTGGTTTTGTGCCACTAATTCCTCTTCCATATCTTGATTGGATCATTGTTTCTTATCTTCTTTCCTCTGACAGTTCTCCAGTGCAGCAGAACGCTCCTGTTCACTTGGATAATGGTGAATGTTGGTCTGGTCCTGCAGCTGTGTACAAAGAGAAGCCTCACAGAGCAATCTTGGAGGAGACTCTCGCAAAAATATATGGAAACATGTACCAAAAAGCTGCTGGTGCTGTTTCAGACCACAAAACACATTCCTGAGAGCAACTCACCTGAAAACGCACACTATACAGTATTTGTAACTAAACCTATTTTTATACAACAATATTTGTACTCTATTTTTTAAGGTGTCTTATGATTAGGCAGGGTTTTGGAGAAATGGGGATTTGGCCTGGGCTGAAAAAAGGAAATTATTAACATTCACCCTCCCAGAAAAGAAACAATCCCTAACAAAAAATCGTCTCCACAGTTAAGCAGGATGGTGTTGCTCCTTTGAGAGTCTGGGCATTGGGTCATTTGAAGACTAATAGGTCTCCTGGACATTCCTGTATGACATCAACTCAGGTTTCAGCTGCAGACAGTTCTTACTAAATATCTAAATCTATTTAGTAATTTAAACAGAATTGGTTGAAGAAGCAATATGCCCCGGTTGTCCAAGAGGGGACCTAAAGGGGAAAGTGAATGTGAGTGTTGGTTTAAAAGTGACCCACCTAGGACAAAGAGAATTGTTCTGTAGACAATTGCCTTTGAATTGTTGATTTTGGACAAACTCTGGTACTATAGGACCCATAGGCATGTATTTGAAGTGCTTTTGAGCCCCTTTAGTCAGAATTAGTTCTAATACTTTGAGATTTTAAAAGAAAACCACCCAGCCCAGAAGCCTTTGTGTGAGATGAAAGGTTATCTTCACGCAGCTTTGCATTTGAAAGCTTCCATGTTCTCCTAAATGCAGCCATGACATTTGCCAATACACTTGTCATTTTAAAAATATGAATGAGAAAGGATTGTGCAGGGGGAAAGACCAGAGCTAGTCAGCAAGCTCCTTGTGTTCTGTACAGGCCTTCTGAAATTTCTGCATCACAATCCCACCTAATTTGGAGCCTGTCCTTCCCAGTCTGCTGGGATCCTGTTGGCAGCAATCACTTCGTTTTTGCTAAAGGCCACCAAATGTTCATCAGCAGTTTGATGCTTTCCCCAGGGATGGAACCTTTTCAGCCTTGCACTGAGCAGATCCCACATTAGCAGACCAGGGCAAATTGCCCTTCCATTGAAAAGCTGAATGTTTTAAAAGGGCAAGAGTGTCCATCTCCTGCTTCCCCCCAGAATGCTGAAAAAACAAATGCCTGTTCTGGCTGCCTCCCTCTCGGAGCAAACAGAGGCAGCTCCACCGATGCCATTTTACCTGTTGTGATTAGATAGAGGATAAAGCTAGCAGTACAGATGGCACAGCATATGACTGGAACCTGCCAGCATGCCTACATAAACAAAAAGTTGGTCTATTCTGCCTTCCCTCCTTTAATGCTGAGACAACATAATTGATTTGAGAAAGCAGTTGGTGAGCAATTCCGCTGGTGGGAGAGCACGTGGAGAGGCTGTGTGCTGCTGTTTCAGGCAAGGGCACTCTCAGAGGAAGTGTCTCACATACAGACATTTCTATTTCTTGTAAACTGTTGGACCAGTTGAAGTGGATTAACACTGATAACTTCCTGTCCCTGCTGCCATTTAGCACATTAGTGCTTTCAGAGGGCATTAGTGGCACCATCTCATGCTATGGAAAAGTGCCGAGTCACTCTGTGAGGTAGCAGGACGCTTTTTTTGCAGAAGGGAAAAGTAAAACTTGCCTAAGCTGTGTCCCTGAAGGCATGGAGGCCATGGAGGGTTGTGCTACCAGGACCTGGTGTTCACTGGCCTCTCCAGTGACCCCATATTAGTCCACAAAGGAATAGTTTTCTTTCTGATCAGAGTAGCTGTATTGAAGTAGATCCTAAATAGGCAGGGCAGATTCTGAGAAAAATTTTCCAAGCTTTTGGTGAAAATTAATCTGTTGATGCCTAAAGGTTTGTGCAGTTTCCTGTATGTGTTTGAGCCATATGATTCAGTGTTCTCCTGATATCCTGCAGTTTTCATTCAGTATTCTCTGTGCATTCCCTCCCCAGTGTCACAGCTGAGTAAAAAGTTAGTCTTCTGAAGATTGGCTTCTCCCCTTTGGCCTGATCTGGCTCTGTGACATAGAAAACCTCTTTGATTTTTCCCTCCACAGCAATCCAGCAGATTTCAGTCCCTGTTCGTTCAGTGTGTGAAAAGTCCTGAATGCTGAGGGATTGTTGTGGGTTTTTTCTGTATGTTTGATGAAGGACACAAGTTGCCATAAACTGAAGACACAAGGGGATGAGAAAGGTTGGGGACCACTACAAAAAAGGAAGGTGGCATTTTCAAAGTGTTCAGGGAATGGCTGGAGGATATCTGTATGACTCCCCTAGCTAAAAAAAGGAAGCATATGGTAATATGACAACCTTCAGTTTTCAACAAAAATGAAAAACTTTTCAGCAAAGGTGAAAACTGAATGGGAGAAAAAAATGTCATTATTGAATTTTGACCAGTATGAATCTTCTCAGTGTAGCCTTCTACTGCAGCTTAACATCAAATGGAGCAGACAGACTCTGAGTATCTTTGGCCCTGCTCCAGCTGGGAGGGAGATGTGTGTTCAGTGTCTCTCTGAATCAGTTGCTGTAGGAGATGTACCTCTCCTGGGTCAGAGTCATTCCACAGCTCGTGCCTTCATACAGCAAGAGTGCTCTCTTCCAGGCACTGTGCTGGAAATACAGTTTGGTAAATGGAAAACTTTCCTGTGGAATGTGATTTCAGACCCAAATTACTCTGATCTGTCCCTAAAATCTTCAAGGCACATTGTTTTCAGAAGCATTTTCCCCTTGCATTTGCTCAGGTGGCCCTGGCAGCACACACAGCTCTGAGCACGGCTGCTGCTCGGCCCCTGCAGCCTGGGAGAAGTGGAGCTTCAAGCACTGAGCCAACACAGCAATAAACTGTAATTGTTTAGTGCACCTTGCCTTCTGATACAATTTAAATCCCTTCTATCAAATGCAAATTTCTAGGTTCCTGAGTGGAACTTTAAATAGCATTTTCTGTGCTCATTCCTTATCTTTTGCCATCCACAAAGTTCTAGTGACAGTGGGATGGCATAATTCCACTGCCATCATTTTAGTTCCTAAAGGAAAGCTGCCTACTCAAATCTGGCAGTAATGGGCCAGATGAGGAGTGAATTGGTGCTTTTCTGTAGAGTCTGCCTCTCTCTCTTGCCCGCCCTAAGTTATTACAGCCCACGAGTGTTCTCACCAAAAGCTGTTCAGCATCCAGTGATGCTTGCAGGATGCAATCAGTGTAATATTTTAATCACTTTCATTTTAGTGAGTCAGACTCTGCTTCCTACTTGCTCCCTTCCATGTCTCCTATGAATAACTTGGTAGAGTTTAAGATCTTGGGCTGGCTTTAGACAAACTGCCTTCCTATGTTCAGAAGAAATGCAAATCCTTGGCTGAGGAGTAGCTGCTTTGGAAATCACGCAGTCATTGACCTGACGTGAATTAAAGGTAAAAATGTCAAACCCTTTAATGATTTGCCTTATCTAAGTTTTTGACTTGGAGGAAGAGAAGCTTAAATTGCTCCACTGAGGACAAGAAGCTTAGGGATCGCTGGAGTAATGAGAACAGGTAGGAGCAGCTTTGTAAGATAGATGGGGAACAGTGTCTGTGCTCCAAAACTGAGCAGCTTGGAAGTGATGAAGGCTGTTCTTTAGATTGTGCATCACATGTTTGAATTTTACTATTACTTCAGAGGCTGACAAAATGATCAAGGGAAAAAGAAATCTACCTGGAGATGTTGGGAATCTATTTTTGGGGTAAAATAACAGGACATTTAGCTTGGCTCAATATTAAATAGTCTTTTCCAAACTCCTTCTCATTGTTACCTCAGCTGTAAAATAGGGAGTTTGTGCTCTGTTGAAGCTTAATTAAATGACTGTGAAGTGCTTTGGGATCCTGAGGTGAATGTTAAAGAAATTATTTTATGGAAACCTAGCTGAAAAGTCCCATCTCATCTCCAGGTTACTAAAAAGACTTTATTTTAATTTTCCCAGGTTTATTATGTTTTAATCAGACAATTATTAAACAAATCTTAATCAGATTTAATAGATTTCTATCTTGATCAGAGAGGGCTAGAAAAGATAATGAGCTGCTTTACTACATGTGCTCTTAGGAGCTAATCTTTGCAGTTGATGTCTTGCTCAGCTTCTGTCTCCTGCATGATCCGGGTTCATATCCTCACACTGATTGCTCTTATGATACCTTTTTTATCTTATTTTTAATATAATCTTTTTTGTCACACTGATGTCTTAGTGCTGTTTGCTCTGTGTACCAGCACTGTTAACATCTCTTGCATCATTTATCCTCAGGCTTTCCCCAGGAACAAAGGGTGCAACGTGACAGTGGGAAATTTTGTGTGGTGTGCCATGGGTTTATCAGAGAAAGCTGGAAGGAATCTCTGTCTTCCTACTCCATGTGTAAGGAATAACTTGGTACATAATTCTGCCATTCCCAATTTTTAAGCTTGAAATGTTTTCTGAAGCACTGAACCATGCTACAAAATTCTCAGCCTTTTAGTAGTGGTCTCCTGCTGTATAAATCTGGTAATGTGGAATCTCAGGTCATAGGAAAGGCCATGGTGTTAATTACTTCAGTGGTCATGGAGTGATCATTATCAGGATGCTGAGAATTTCTCATGAGATTTGTTTAGTAATCAAGGAACTTGAGGAAACTTTCAAATCAGTGAAATTGAGGCTCTTGGTTCTGGTGAGAACACTTGAAGCTGAGAGAGGACAGCACTTCTAGGTCTGCCTCCCTGACAGAAGGGGTGTCTGCCTTGGGTGATGTCTCTGGGAGCAGCAGAGAATTGATCTTTGCCCAGCTCCTTTCAGTTCCAACAAGTGCAGCAGCGTTGTGGGAAGTGATTGAAACCCCCAATGTTCCTGTTTCCATTGCACAGGAGCTATTAAGCACAACCCCCTTGATTACTGTTGGCTTCTGCTGCTTTCCCCATGGAATTCAAAACATCATCAACCAAAGCCCTTCAAAGATGTGGCTGTAGCTCCTTTTATCAGTGTTGGCTTGCCAAAGGCATGGGGTTTGTTCCCATTTTATCTTTGTGAGAAATTCTCTGAAGTGTGGTGATAATTTGTCTGGATGGCA